AAGGACATCAACCACATACTAAAGTGCCTTTATGATGGGTAATACTTCCAGGAACCCTTTTTATGTTCCCTTGAAGTAAACTTATATTTAAACCATAACTAAACTTATTTTTTAGTGTTAATCTTATTTTTATACCATTAGTAAATTGGTTTTTTTGAATGATTTAAGTAGTCATCAAACTACTGCAACTGGCCATGAAAAATTTGAACCTAAAGAGTATGATTCGATGACATCTAAGCCCATTATGCAATGCAAAACAAAATGTTTAAAAAGGCGGTGGTAATTGAAAGGAAAGAAAAAAAGTCTAAGCGAGATGTGACTCTGAGCACTACCCCGGCACCGCCAAAAATCAGGAAAAAAAGGGGAAAGGGAAATATAGATGATGTGTCCTAAAAGTTAGGAAGACGCTTTTCTGCCGACCTGAGGATCTCATAGATAATGATTTTTACCTCAACTATCATCCATCTAACAATATTGTATGATATGAAGGTGAACACCATCCTGTTGAAATTCCTGAAGTAAGTATTAATTATTTATTTTGAATAAAACCTAATATTACATGATATAACATTATTGCTTACAACAATGTTCGTTTCGTGTGTATTTAACGACAGTGGATACCAATGACATTTCGACCATCTCCGAGAATGATACTAAATGACATATGTGCTCGCACTGCCACATACATCTTTATGAGTGACAAAGAAGAACTTAATGGGTATTTAATTTTAATGCAAATACCTAATACATAATAGTAAGTTTATTTATCATATTTAATTTGATGATAATTTCAATTTTCTAAGCAACAATAAGGTTTTGGTAAAAATATCTTCAAATGTATATGGAGATCAGAAAGCACTAAAGACCCTGATGCCAAGATGCCCTTTAGACCAGGTGGTTATTGTTAATATGATACTGAGTTGAACTTATCCAATTTATGTATAATTCTATTAAAGCCATTTTCATATGAAAATACTTATTATTAATCTTGTTGTGGCAAGACAAGACTGGTTCATAGATATTGTGGGAAAGTCTAAGTCTGTTTGGTATATGCCTACTAAGTTTGCGGTGATTACTATTCTACTATACTATTATTACTTGTACATTTTGTTTGTCTAAATTTAATTGAACTATAATATATTTAATCTTTTTATTTTAATTGCTGCAATATGCCCTGGAAGGACATCACAGGCCTGACTATGTGAGGGATATATACCATACTAGTTTCATGACAACCAAAGAACATGTTTACAGGGTGAGTTGTGTGTTAAAACAGTTGGCACGTTAAAGACTCTGTGTCTAAAACTTAAAATTATATTTTTGCAGATTTTTATTTCGATGAACGACCTTGGAGAACACTGGTATCTCTTGGTTGTTGATTTTTTCGGAAAAAAACTGTATTAGTTGGACTCTCTGGATTACACTGAAAAGACACACATCCAGGTGCTGAGCAATATTGAAAATGGTATGCATGCATGTGCGAATTTTGTTTTTTACTTTCCAATCTATTGTTTGGATTTTTTTAAACTTTGGTTTGTACTATGTGGCAGGCCGTATTTCTTGAGGAGATTTTCTGTCATAAATTTTTTGGTGATATCCTTCCATTTGGTCCAGGAAATACGATAACAAACTTCGGCATAGCGGAACCAACATCCCTTAAACAACAACATGCCAGATCGTAAGTACTCTCATACCTTAACCTTACTATATTTTAATTGATTGACAATATTACCTATTACTTGCAACTAATACATTTACTCACTGACCACGAAAATGATTGTGGAGTTTGGGTACGTAAGTGGATGATTGAGTGTCTCTTCCAAACTTTGTTTAATGAAATCAGTGTAAATTGAATTCATGTGAATATCATTAACTTAATCATTTCCCTTGTAATTATATTTTAAATTGTCCTAAATGTTCATAATTATATTATATACAAGTCGTGACTTCGACAAGAATGAAACTCACACTTTTTTGTTACACTCTGGTAATAATGTTTTGTTAGCCGAAGTGTTGGAAAAGTCGGCATCTTATTGGAAGAAACAAGAAAAGCTAAGGAAGGCGTTGGTAAAATTAGGTTGAAGTTTGAAGTTTGATGTTTTTTATGATTGTCCATAATTTGGAAACATTTTGGATTGTAATATGATATTTAGATGTTTCATATTGACAATTTGCCACGTTTTTTAGATGATTGGTTCTTTATTTTGTATAATATTATCATTTATCATGTATTCTTCTTGCCTTTATGAAAAATTTCAAAACTAATTACTATACAACATCTACACACCAAATATACATAACTGTTTTATTTTCCAATAACTCACAAAAATAATGATATCATACGTCTGGATTTAACATACCTCAGTGATCTGGCTATATACAATTGACTTGAGTTAACATATGACTTGACATCTTATGTTCACATTCTCCTTCTTCAGAAGTTGTCTAGAACTCTAACCAACATGTTGCATACTCGTCTATGCAGTTTTGAAATGCACCAAAACTAAAGTGATTATCAAATTCAAATCATAGACTCGACGTGATAATTTAGAATTGTTTCAAAAATTGTTATTGAACTCGTATACTAACTTTACCATGGAAATAAAAAATGAACATTTTTCTATAAAAACAAAATTTTTCAATCTATTTGATTCAATGGAAAGCTCAAATTGCAACTAATTTAGTAGTACTTTCTTGATGACTAACATTCTAATGTTTATCATTAAATTGGATAAATTATAATCATAAAGTACAAGTTTTAGTTGGGACTAAAAAACTTACATTATTTAACGCACACATGAAGTATTTTTCTACAAAATTGTTCTATAACAGTTAATGTACTGGAGCTTATCTCAAATTTACAGGCACGTGTTTCTTATGCTTTTTCCTTGCATCCCACACAGAGACATCATTGGTGCTTGTTAATAATACCATACATTAAATATGTTTTGTTTACCCATGCAAGCCTTTCGTCAATGTCTATTTTTGAGTTCAAACTCATTCTGAACACCATATATTTTCATAGTAGATTGTTGTGGACTTGTACCATCCATGCAAACCTCATGAACAATTACATCAATTAAAGTACATTGCTGCAATGATTAAAAAAGAGTGGTGAAATAATTTATCCACATACCAATATGCTAAGAAGAAATTCAACATTTCAGGAGGTTTATTAATGTAATCCAAAACCTTTAGATGTAGAAAATGTTTGGAATATTAGCTTAAAAAGTTTGTTAACAACAAAAACAGTTGTTCTTACGAATGATACTCACAAAAAAGGTGAAAAATATTGTCCAACAATAGCACACCAGTAAAGTTAAAGTCTTACATAGTCCACTGAACAAACTCTCCCTCCCAATCTACTGTTGGTTATCAAAATATTTAATCTATAAAAACAAAACAACAACAACAACAACAATCAAGCCTTATTCCATTAAGTGAGATAACCTTCATGAATCAACTCTATTTTGTTTACCCATGCAAGCCCTTATTTAGTGTGTGTTTTCGAGTTCAAACACCCTGAGTAAATTGTTTGCAGCCATTACTTAATTGCAGGATATTTGAAGAATAAATCATCAAAATAGTTCACAATAATACACAATCACAACTTAAATTTGAATAATATCACAATATAAATTCCTCTTTATGCAACTGAAAAACAAACAATTCAATTGAAACCCTGAAGATTCAATTAAATTACGATTATTTCACTATATATCAATTCAACTCAAATGCATTTTTTATGAATTTATGAATTTCATAAAATATAAATCCTAATCCCCAATTCCACAATTCATGCATAAGAATTTAATCAACTTCAACTTAAAATACAAATCACAATCCCCAAATCACATGCCAGCTTCAAATTAAAATACAAACCCAAATCACCAAGTCAACTTCAATTAAACATACATAATTAATATGCAATTCAATAATTTATGCATGATAACTCAAATCCACTTGATTTTGAAAAAATATAAAGATTGAGATGGATATGAACAACTACCTGTGAGAAAAAAAAAACGTCATTCCACTGTGAATCTGGGTGAGACAATAGCACAATGAAGATGGAAAATTTTCAATATCCTTAGATGAGGATGAATATGATGGATAATAGTTAGTTGATAACAAAGTGAAGGATAAATTGAAACAAATACGAATTCGGTCTGCACTATTAAAGGAAGATGGATGATCAAAAGAAAAAGAAGATGAAGGCGGTCTTTTCAAATGTATGTTTGGAATTTAGGGATTTCAATTCAAAATTTATTTTATCAAATAAAAATTGTTTCCAATTTAATATTAATTTTATGAAGGACTGATAATAAATAAAAGTTTCATATAAAATAATTATGTCATTTTGATTGACCAATTAAAATGATTGCACCAAAAAAAAATTAATATGCCAACTTCACCTTAGAAACTCCCTTTTCGGATCCTTCAATATAGAATGACACATCTCTTAAGTTCAAATAATATTATCCTCATTTTCATTGTCTACAAAATTAAGTGCAATTGAATGTCTTATCTCTGTTGAAGTGACACAGACAAATTTAAGTAAAGGTGGTTTGTATTTTATGTCATAATAGTTCTTAATCCCGATTTTTTTCCTTTCTATTAACCTAAAACAAACTCTTCCATAACCATGATAATACTATAAGCTAACTGAAATCACCATATCATCTAACAAGTTTACATTCTATTTTCATCATCAAATCAAAAGATATAAATAGAAAACAGTAATTAATTAACAAGTAAGAAAATAAACAACAAGATTTTTATAATATTTCATTACAGAATTTTACATGTCTTCATATTATTACAGAATATTTATTTTCATTACAAACCTAAAATAAAATGATCAAATAAACAAAAGAATAAACAATTGACAAAATACATATAACAATTACAACAACAAAAAATAGATCATTGGGAAAAAAAATCAAACAGTCAACAAATAAATCAACAAATGATTGTAACTTGTAAGTAGTTCTACTCAATTAAAGAGTAGATGTAAAAGGCACTTTGGTTGCAGGTAACCATGAGTTTCCAGCAATGAAATTTGAAACAGTAAATTTTGATGCTTCAGAAGCACTATTCATCACATGATAACCTTGCCATTTCACTCGGTTTCTTGTAGAAGAACCAGGACCAGTGTTCATGTACTCACCATAGTATAAAGTCCTTAATGCAAAATCACCACTCCATTCCAACCAACCAGTTGGATGAATCAAACTATCAAGAGAACTCTTCATAAAAACTGTCCTGGAATATTGCTTCCATGGTCTTCCAAGATAAGTCCTCACAGAACCTTGAACAGGTTTCAAATCCGAAGCAGCGGTAACCCTAGAATTGTGAATGGAAATACCAGTGTTTTGATTTGGATCCATTCTACCTTGTGCAGTAATTGTGTTAACTTTGTTTGGAGGGTTTCTTGCAAATATGTTACAGTTTTGGAAAACTGCAGCAGCATTACCAAATATGAAGTCAACTGTGCCGTAAATGTTACATTCTTTGTAGAATTGTCTATCTGAATGTACATATAGTGTGTCTTGATAACCTTCAAAACTACATCTATAAAATACAGACAAGTCTGATCCAGAACGCAGTGCAACAGCTTGATGGTTACTTGCACCAGCGGTGTTTCTAAATGTTATATCTTGACCAATAAATCCATCCCCAACCACAGCTGCAAAAATATACAATATTAGTAAGGTTTCTAAAGTTTAAAATTAAGAGGGAAATTTTGTTTTTCATTCACAATATAAAAATTTGAGTTTGTGATAAGATAAGAAGCACTGACACATACAAAGACATAAAACATAAAACACTGACATGTTTAACCAGTAATCTTATTTGTTGGTGTCAGACAATGACACATGTTGGATACCAGACACACCTTTCGAGTGGTTCAGTATGCTAAAGGTTATAAGTACTTACCAACTGTGGCTGAACGAAAAGTCGTGGTTCCTCCTCCAACACTTTTGCTGCCGGTGATTATAGTTTTTCCAATACCATCTCCTACCAACATGATATTCTTTGCTTTGATTTCAACTTGTTCATTGTAAACACCAGCCTTGACATGTATAACATATCTTCCTTTGTTATTCTTCGGTGCAGCATTTACAGCTGCACTAACTGTTGTGTATTTTCCGGATCCATCTTTTGCCACTACTGCATTAGGCTGAGAAGACGAAGATGTTTGTAACAACTTTCTATCACTTGGTCTAACCCATGTTGGGAAACCATCTTTGTAGCTTGGTTCTTGATATTGAACTTTGTTAAGAGCTAAAGTATTGCTTAGCAATTTAGTAACATTGTTGGACATGAGAGGAAGGACATAGTCTTGAACACCAAGTTCATAGAATCCAGATTGACATGTGTCAAGATTTGTGAGAGCGGTACTTAGCCATGTTTGAGCATCAACTTGAGAACATTTAGTTTTAGTGTCTAGGGTTTTGTTGAGTTTAAGGATGGTTTGTTGATATAGGTCAACACAATCAGCCCAAGCAGATATTTGACGTGAGTTAGTGCATTTTGAACGTAATGAAAGAGTGTTTGCATGGGCTTTGAGTGCTCTTTGTTGAACAAGTTGTAATGAAAGTGTGAAGAAATCAGATTTTTGTTTGATGAGTTTGTGTTGGTAAGAAGGGTTATTGTTCAAGAAATATTCACAAGGTTGAGGGTTAGGGGTTTGGTTACACCATAATTTAAGTTCATTGGTGGAATATGAGGAAACAAAAGAAGCAAGTAAAAATGGAACCAAAAGTGTTACTAGCAAACGAATAGCTATCATGGTTTATAAGAGAGAGAGAAGAGTGTTTTTGATATATTGAAATGGATTTGGAATATTTTTCATGGGCTAATATAATGTCTTTATATAGAGCAAAAGAAGGGTAGGAAGGGGTATTATTGGAATTAAAAATAGTGTAGCCGTCAACCATTACTATTTTACCTTTTCTATGGCTTTTTGCTTTTGTTTTCCGTACATATTCAATTTTTAGTTATAATTTATTTGAATATGATTCATGCATAAAATTTGACTTTAAAATCTACGTACGTATATTATTTGACTTTACAAGTAGTAGCAAATAGCAATATTATAGCAGGCAAATAAAACGCGTTAATATTATGTTCTTATTCTGCATACATGACGTGTCTACTTTGGAGACTGTGGCTAATTGTATTGGATTTGATTGTCAAAGAACAAGAAGGATAAAAGCATATAGGTTGAACTTTTTGAATGGATGGATAAGCTTCCGAAAGGTTTCCTTAGGCTCATTGAGAATAACTAGATTATTTGTTAACCAGCTGAATAAACTTGTTTTCTTTATTTATCAAAAAGTCGAGTAGGTTCTTAATACTGCTCCTAGAGACATCAAATGGATTGATTGATTTGGATTTCTTTGACCAATTATGGGCGGAGGATTTAACCGGTCTCTCGTAATTATATCTGGCATCTCTTTAATAGGTGTTATTACTCTTATATTTTTATAAAAAAATTAAAACTTATTTTGTGTTTATTGGAAATTTCAAGAAAATATCGATTTTTTAAAAAAATTTGGGAAAAATTATCAAATATTGTGAAAAATTCGATAATTCATTTTTGACAAAAAAAAAATTATACTATCAAAAATTTCGAAAATTTCAATTATAGCACTTTTTAAAATTTACCGTAAATTTCAAAATTTTTAATAGTAAAATTATTTTTTAAAAACTCATCGGAAATTTTAAAAAATTTATCGAAAATTTCCTTCTTACATCCCATATTTGTTCATGGGCAATTTGCAAATTAAGTAAAAATGGGAGATGTCATGTAAAATTGTCAGGGTGATAAGTTAAATCATATCCTCTTATGTGTATTATAGAGTTGGACAAGAAAAAGATAATCGGCCCAAACCATCCGACTCATGGTAACCCAAAGCCAGCGGGTGGGTCAAATTCGGGTTTCCAGGTTAATCGAATTCCATAAGTGGGTATAGATGGATAACAATGGATCAAGTCGATTCTTTAAATCAAATATAAAGAAACCTAAAATCGACCGGTCCATACTACTTTTTATTCTGAGCACAAGGTTGATCGATCCAGTAACTAAAGTCCACCCTAATTCACTTTCTCTCTCTCTCTCTCTCACATGCGTTGTTTCTAACTGTCTCTCTTAGTTCTTCTCAGTTCTCTCACTAAACCCTAAATTTCCTTCAATACAACAAAAACATCGTTTCGTGTTCCGATTCAGCCACTTGTTTTCACCGCACCACCACCATCCCACCACCATAACCGATCAGGTAAGTTTCACTCAATCATGCTTGTTCTCTTTCTTCTTCTGTCTTCTCTCTCTGCTTTCATTTATATATCACTCATTGATGAAAGCTTCCAACTTCTTCTTCTTCTGTATTAACTTAAAACTAAATTTGTGTACTTTATTCAAAACATATATATTTGCTCGAATTTAAAACATAAAAAAATGTGTGAAATATCGTAGTGACTTTTTTCTATGACATATTAGTGTTGAAATGTCTGACTAATTTGTGTTGAAATTTGTGTTGATTTTCATTATATCTTTGAAATTTCTTTTTATGTGTTTTGTTTTGTGAACGACAATTTTCGAATCCGATAAATAACTTTCTTTTGTGGTTTGATTTTTTTTGTGTTAGATTAAGAATATTTAGATTGTGTGTGTATGTATGAAGTGTTTTTTATTATATTAAAAGAAATTTAGGTTCAGAAGATATATCTCATTCATATTCAACTAATATATCTTAGTAGATTGACATTTACATGAAACTATTATGCTATATGTATGTTTTTTTTTTTACAAAGTATATGAAAAGCTTACATATATTGGAAGATAAAACTTGTTTTTTTGGAACTTTTTGGTTCTCTATTTTTCTACTTCCTTTTGGAATTTGTTTTGTTTAGAACTTCTTTACTAGTTCTAATGTCTTTTTTTATATTGGAAGATGAAGCATGGAGTTGGAGAAGGAAGCTTGCATGGAGTTTGAGGTGGTAGCTTTTATGAAGTTGGAGATGATAGCTTACTTGAAGTTGGAAATGCTAGCTTGTAAGGATTGACTCAAAGTATTTAAAATGATGTATGGTTGTTGCTGCTATGTTTTTTAAAAGTGTTAAAGGGATTTGTCTTCAAAAGTGATATATGGTTGCTGCTAGGTGTTTTTTAATAGTGATATATAGATGCTTTTGTGTTTCTTTAGCGTGTTAAACATTTTGAAAGTGTTAAATGAATTTGTCTTATAAATGTGATATATTGTTGTTGTTAGGTTTTTCTTAATAGTTTTGTTAGTTGTTTTACTATGCATCTCCTTTTTTGTGTTTGTTATTACCTAAGTGATCTAGTTACTTAGTGAAAATATTTTCTAAATTGAAGAATATAGTTTTAAAGATTTTTTCTTTGCCTTCTAGTTTTTTCACTAATATCAATTTATTTATTTTTATTCTTTTTTTTTCATGTTTTCTTAGTCTTCAAGTCTTTATATAATCAATAAAATAATATATTTGTTGAGGGTTACTCTTGAGATTTTCAGAAACATTGGTAGCTTGAACAGTAACGTGGGGGACAAGATCGTGCGACGCGTCTGTTCTTTCATGGTAGTGGAATAAAACATTGATTGTACCATATACTATTTGTACCACGTTAATGTTATCTTCTTTCCTTTTGCACTTCAGAGGCTTTTGTGAGCATGAGTTTAGAAACGGAAACATAACATAAGGTCATCAGAACTTCAAGTCTTCAGAACTGCATCTTCAGAGTCTTCAACACTTGGTTGTGAGAACCTTTTCTTGGAACCTTGGGTCTTTAGAACTTCAAGTTTTTAGAATCTTCAGAAATTATGTCTTTAGAGTCTTCAACACTTGGTCTTTATAACCCTTATCTTTAGAATCTTGGGTCTTTTAGAAACTTGAGTCCTTAGCATCTGGACTTGAGTAGAAACTTCTGTCTTCAGATCTTCTGACTCTTTCTTTAAAACTGTTGTCTTCAGAAATATGAGTCTTCAGCATCTGGACTTAAGTAGCAACTTCTATCTTCAGATCTTCTAACTGGTTTCTTTAGACAAATATCAGAGCTTATACTTCAGAGCCTTCTGGAGTGTCTTGCTACTGTTCAACAAAACTTGTGTAGCGCAGAAACAGAACCTATTTGTTAAGTACTCAACAATAACAAATATTAGAGTATCAAAATTGTTCATACAAATATACTCATTTGTTATCATCAAAACTTAGAGATAATATTGCAAAATCAAATCTTGTTCTTACAGATGATATCAGAGTTGCTTGGGACAAATTTCACAAATTGCTCTTTAGTATTCGACGATATAAATTCGGTGCACAATGAAATAGGCATTTTTAATTGAAAGGTATTAATGTTAGCTTGATTGAGAATTTTTTATACTTGACATTTTAACATAACTTCTTTTGATTATGTTTAATGCATGTCTTGAGAATTTTATATTCAACATTCTTACTCTTTTTCTGTGTTTGATTTTTAAATATACTTTCTTAATGAAACACTCATTTTGTTTCTTACTACACTTTGTAAATTTCAATTTGATGCATTCAAATATGTTTTCTTCTTCACAAGGTCATCATGGATTAGAATAGAGAAGCAGCAACAACTTATCTAAAAGAGAGCCATGAACAGTCAATGAGTTTTTATCATGTTAGAGTTTAATTTGTAAAATATTTAAAGTTTTAAATTTGAATGACTAATATATTGATAGGTTCTGAAATCGATTAAACTAATCCATTTTAAACGATAAACCGATTAAACTGAACCCAATCAAATCGATTATAATTTCAGTCAGAATTGAGCCTTGTAATTGCATCCATGGTTTCAAACGGTTTGACATATTGGACCTGAATCCAATCCAAACCGACTGGCATCCAGTCCTAGTGTATAATATGTATTAGATGACTTTAAACCATAATATTTTGTTAAATTTATTTGAAACTAGGATGTCATATACAATGAACATTCTTTGAATGGACAGCGACTCATTCCACAAGAAAAAATGAAACTTGGCCAAATATTTTTTTGGTTATCTTGAAAGAATTTTCCAAGTTGAGCCATATAGAAAAATAATCAAACAAGAAAAGTTAAAGGTGGAACTACTCATAGATTTAGGTGGTGACGCATTTTTTTTTGCAATTTAGCTTTTCTCTTAAAAAGAATTTAGGTGGTGACACATTTTTTAGATGTAATGTTAGTTAGATATTTTTATGGATGTAATTCGGATATAGTTTGATGTGTTTTAGTGTATATCTTGTTATGTGTGAGGCACTTTGGGTGAAAGAATGAATGAGAAATAAAAAATGAAAAGTATTGAATTAGGGCTATTATTAAATGTATATATAAAATTGAATTCCAAGTCAAGTAACTAATTTAGGTTTGGATTATATCACAACATATACTACAACAAATAACGCTTTTTATGGCGAAATTTATACCTCACATGAAAAAAAAAGTGTAAACCATAGACGTGTCACATTTCTTTTTTTTTTAAAATATCATATATTCTCTCGGTTGAGTTGGAAACTGAGGGATAAAGTATTTAGAGAACACATTTTCGAATCCCAGCAACTACATTTTAACACCATTTAATTTTTTTTAAAATTTTTTTATGACTTATTGTCTCGATTTTGCTTAAAAAATGAGGGGTAAAGTATTTAGAGGATAGGTCTTAGAATCCCACCAACTATATTTTATCACCTTTTAATTTTTTTAACAGAATTTTACCCTCTTGATTTTGTTAAAAAATAAGATAAAAGGTAACGCAGTTT